AGAACGAACACAAACCGAACGAATAATTAAATAAATTTTCTTTGCCGCCCAAATTGATTTCATATTTATCGGAGTGGCGGCTAGACGAGTGCCAGCATTCTGCAATCGGCGGTCGGGCAATCGAGTAGTTTTAGCTCTAGCAACCGAACTTAACAGAATTAAAGTCCTTTATTATACTTTTTATTATTATTCTTATATATATAATATATATATATTTTTATCTGCAAACTCTGCCGCCGGTTCCGTTCCGTTCCGTTCGCTTCTACTTCGTTTCGTTTTTTGTGCTTTTTTTGTTATTTTTTCGAGCAAAGCCAGAGCGCTTCTATTCAAAGAAGCAGAAGCATTTCGACACTCGAAGCGCGTGCACCGTTATTTGATTACAACTTTAACCGTTAAATAATAATAATAATAATAATTTTTAATATAAAAAGATTTAAATATTAAAAGAAACTGTAAAGATCTTTGTGGATCTTAGTGATGATCAACTATTTGGTTCTTAAATCCTTGGGCGCTCTACGAAGAAATGGGCTTTCTTTCGAAGGCCGCCTACATTGTGTGGGCCGTGTAAGTACTCTTCTTCGATTCTTCTCTAAATCTTGACATATTTTGTGAAGAATTCCCCTAATTAGTTAGGAGAATCCCCTCAAAATTGTAAGCTTTTCAAGACCAAGACCTTGTTTAGTCATCGACTTGTTGGCTGTTTGTTTTATTTACGATGTAATTTACATTTGATTCATATTTTTTACCAGGGACTTTTTTACTTTTTGGTTTTTTTTTTGGTTAGTCTTTGTGGGGTTAGTCTTATCAGGAAGTGATAGTTATACCCCCACAAACCAAGGACCCACTTGAGCCTATTAACTAAGGCCTTTTGGAGAAAAATAAACAAACTTTTATTTATTGAAAGAATTTTAATTAATTGTTTAAAAATAATAAACTATAAATAAACTTACTAAATCATTCTGAAAAAATTAGTTGCCATTTAAAAAATATATTTCCTATTGGGAAGTATCTAAAAATTGTTTTAAAATGTGTGTTACTGGTAGCTAAAGGAAACTATAAAAGCGCCTCAATTTGTTGCAAAGTTCTTAATATTTATCAAATAATTTCAAAGAATTAAATTAAAGATTTGTTTTTAAGTTATTTGAATTAAAATAGATGGAAAAATAGTTAGACTAAGAATTAGAATCCGTAGTATTTTTCATAAAAAACGGTCTATAATACATACTTTATATATTAAAGTATATATTTAGATAAAATAAATGATCCTTTAAAATGGGGTTCTATAATACCCCTTTTACCTCCCATAATATAGCTATACCTATACCTTATACTACCCCTTATCCCTATTAAATAAAAGTTTTAAAAGAAACTAATACCATATTAAATACTTCCAACTATATAACTTAATTCTAAAGACTTCCAGTAGTTATAAAATCTATATTATTTATTTTTTATAAAAGATCCTATAGTCTCTATAGATATCGCAGCTCATATAGCTCATAGCTCCCTTAAAAATCTCCATTTATTTTCAAATTCTAATCAATTTCCTCGTAAATCATAAACAATGTATCTGCGCCAGCAAGTCTCTCGTCTCTTCCCATTCACTTCCCTTAAAAAAAAAATATATATAAAAATTCCCATCGAAAGAAGTGCTAGAGTTGCGAAAACGAGATCACATCCTGTCCTATCCACAAACTGCATCCGATTTTTTGTTTACCACTTTGGGGGAGGGATGAGCTTCCAGTAGGAGGAGGAGTAGGAGGAGGAGGAGGAAGAGAAGCTTCCATTCTAACCCGCGGGTACTGCATCCACTCACTACTACGTGCTGGTGCATCCTAAACAGCGGACGATGGAGATCAAGTTGCATTCGCGGCATCCCCTTGCATTCCCACGATTCCTAGCCAGCCATCCGGAGGAGGAGATCCATCCGGAATGCAGTGTAAAATCCAAAAGGAATGCCAAGTAAACAGTTTGCGGAAAATTCTTCACTTTTTTTAAGATTGTGTGGGAAGTTGTATTTTTTATAGATTTCTTTCTAGTTTTATATCAAGTTTCCAATTAGGAATTTTTTTTCTTTTTCAATATTTTTCAATAAGGATCCTTTCTCAAGTGCCTTCTTTTGTTTTTCTAATATTTTTTTTTTTTTTTGATTTTATGGCTATGGTTTTTGGGGCAAGTGGCTCTCGATTTGTAAGTTGATCGATTTTGTAACTAAATGTTAGGATTTTGGATTAGATTTCAGTTGCCTTAGAGAGGGGGTTCTTTTTTTTGAGTTTATTGATTAGAAATGATGATTGGAATAAGGGGGTATTTTTTGTTAAAAAATAAAAGAGGTTTAAGGGAAGAATTAAGGAATGTATTTAGTTTTTTTTTTTATTGAAATTCTCTGAGAGATTTTATATTTTTTTATAGTAATAGTATATTAATTGGACAATAATCTATAAAAAATATTTTAAATAAATACATTTTAGTTAATATATTCCTAAAGACGGTAAAAAATTAAAAGGAATAGAATGAAAATTATTCAAAACATGTCTTATAATTAAAATTTTAGTAAAAAGTCCCTTTAAAAACTTAAATTTTGATAAAAAAAAAAACCTAAAAATATTAAAAAACTTTATAAAAATTATTTATCAAATTATAATAATAATAATACTAACATATATATTTTTTTTTGAATACCCTGTCATTTTTGATATCCCAATCTCCCCCAAAAAATAAAAAAAAAACAGACCCCTAAATGGGTTAAGGCTCCATTATCGGAAACTTTTCTTATCGCTCTTATCATGCTATCTCGCTTGACACCCACCCACTCCCCCATCTAGCACTCTCTCTCTCTCTTTCACTCGCACTGCAGGTAATGCTTGCACTGCATTGGGGGGTAACTCCGATTCCGACTGGGGAACCTCGAAATCAGTCGCCTGCCTGCTTTTGTTGGATTGGGAATTGATTTTTTTTTTTTTACCAAAAAGTTGTTTGGTTTTATTTTTTGTTTTTGTATTTTTTTTGACCGATTTAGTGCGTTGCTAATTGAGAATCCATTTGGGTTTTACAACCCAAAACCCCAAAACCCCAAACCCTAAAAACCAATCCGAGATCAGGAAGCAATGGGTCTCTTCTCCAAGTTCGTCTACACCTTCCACATGTGGGAGAAGTACGTGAGTTTGAAGCTATACCTCCAGCTCCTACACCTCCAGCTCCTCCAACTCCTATACCTGCAGTACCTCCTCCACCTCCAACTCCTCTACCTCCATCTCCTCCTCCATCTCCTACACCTCCAGTTCCTCCACCTCCTCTTCATCATTAAATCATTAAATTTGCTAAAATATTTCAATTCCTGTTTTTCTTATTTTAATTTTTTTTATTAACGAATAAACATAAAAGCGTGCTCCTCCCTTTTTTTTATTTTTGTGATATCATTTAGGCTCGTGGCGAGTATTTTAAATATTTTTCAAAGAATAATTTTATAAAATTAAGGAATTATTCTTTAAAAAAATACAATAATAAACCCCCCTCTATTAGCGATTTATATATATTTTCTTTTAATTTATCTTGAATCTCCTTTGAAGAAAGTGGAGGCCTCTTTATCAGCTCGAATCCAATCCTATATTCCAAGCATTTCCGCACCAATGCCAAGTCACTGACCCATAGAATCCCAGAGTCTAGACCGCGATACCATACAATAAAATGGACTAACATGTCCATGCCCATAGAGTTCTTTGTTGAAAAAAAAAAAATAATAATAAATTATTGGCGCTGATGATGACACCAAGAAGCCACTTAGTATTTCGCAAATAATCGCACTTTTTCAGTTTTAAATTCCATTAATTGCGGTTTCCTGTTTTTGTAAAAAAATTGAAAATAATTTGACACGATCGTGTATACTGTAAAAGCTTAATTAATTGATCAGTTTCCATTTTCATTTCCATCCATCGCCCCACAAATTACCAAAAATAATAATATGTATAGGGGGGGTCTAATTCGGGAATTAGTCACTTCCGAAGCGAACCGATAATTGCAGCCAAAACTGTTGTCACTATTGGTGGTATGCCTGGCCCCTCCTTTCCAAATTTCCAACAAAAAAATTATGAGATATATATATATAATATTTAGAGCCACTCCCCCCTCCTCCTCCCCACCCCTTTCTGAAATGCGGTTGACCGCCATAATTTGCGTTATTAATTGGCCAATTTTCAATTTCAAGTTGAAGGCCAAATAGCCAATAAAAAAAAATAAAAAAAAAAAAAATTAAAGCAATTTAAATTATTTTAGAGTAACTAACTAAGAAAAACTTAGAACACCAATTAGTTAATGTTTAAAAAAAGGGAAATATTCTCTAGATTAAATCGAAGGCCAGTTCGAATGGTAGATCGATTGGAAATCGAAAATCGAAATAAAAACCAATTCTTCCGCCTTGTAACCGCCGGAAGAAAGAGGCCCAGTCTTCTAAGTGACCTTATTTTTTATTCTAGCACTCTCTGGAATTCATTCTCCAAGGCTTGCATTAATATCTATGACAAGTCATTTGGCCTCCTGACCCCCTGATTTCATCTACCAGGAATGACATCTATATAACTATAGTATATATAGTATATATCTAGTAAGATCTCCATATGGACACGTCACTGGCAGCTGCAGCTTTGTTCTCTGGTGGTTCTGTGATGCAATTTCGCGGGAGAACAAGATTGGAAATTAATTTAGTTCTTAAAGAGTTATTTTTCATATACATATATATATATATATATATCTTTTCTGGATCGATATCGGATTACTTGACTAGTAATCTGTTAGTTGTGGTTCCAAAGTCCGGAACCCCGTCGTTTATCTAATCCATTATCGGATCGGTGTGTCCTTTGGGGGCTAATCAATTGTCGGCTTAGTCTCCGGACTTGATAGCCTCCCCATTTAGATTTATTAGCTAAACCCCAACCTCTCCCCTCCCCCTCCCCTCGTCTCTGGTATTAATTCTCACACGCTTCTCTATTATCTCATCATTTCAGCCTGTTCGAGCAGGAGATCATGAGCTATGTTCCCATTGAGGAGCGCAGTCCCCAGGGCTCGCCCGTTCTCAGCTCCCGGATGCCGCAGAGGGCGCCGCCACCCTTCCGGCGTGACTTTGAGGCCAAGCTAAGGAGCTTCTACCGCAAACTGGAGTCCAAGGGATACGGCCAGGGGCCACACAAACTCAAGTAAGTGTTTTTTTTTTATTTTATTTTTATTTTTTTTTAATTCTTTTAATTTATAAAAAATTTTTTATTTTTATTCGGAGGTTGCTCGAAGCTTTAGGGGTTAATAATTTTACTTTATAATTGTCCGGTTTACAAGGAAGTTACCTTGAGTAATTCGTATATCGATTCTATAGCCAGATACTCATCTAGATAGGGAATACTTTTGGTATTTTTTATGGTTTACCTTTTGGAGGTTACCTTTGAGAAAAATACTAAAATACTGGGAGAGCTAGTGATGTCTTTAACTCTGCCAATTTTGATCCGATTCCCAAGCGGGATACCTTAATCGATTTGTAGATCGATTCTCCGTAATCCTGCATCAAAATCCCGGACTCTCCAATTTTTTGGATTTTTTTCCAAAATTTTAAAATTAGGAAATTCCTTAAAATTGTTCCGATTTAACGAATTTTTTTCCCACAGGCTCCACATCCGACGCAGCCACTTGCTGGAGGACGCCTTCCGGAGGATCATGTCGGCCAACAAGAAGGACCTGCAACGCGGTCGCCTGGCGGTGCTGTGGGACACGGAGGAGGGCCTGGACTACGGCGGGCCCTCGCGCGAGTTCTTCTTCCTGCTCTCGCGGGAGCTCTTCAATCCGTACTACGGCCTGTTCGAGTACTCCGCCAACGACACGTACACGGTGCAGGTGTCGCCGCTGTCGGCCTTCGTGGACAACTGTCATGACTGGTTCCGGTTCAGTGGCAGGGTGCTGGGCCTGGCCCTGGTCCACCAGTACCTGCTGGACGCCTTCTTCACCCGGCCCTTCTACAAGGCCCTGCTGCGGCTGCCGGTGGCGCTGAGCGATCTGGAGTCGCTGGACAACGAGTTCCACCAGTCGCTGCAGTGGATCCGCGACAACGATATCGGCAGTGGCGTCGATCTCGGTCTCACGTTCTGCGTTACGGAGGAGCTGCTGGGCCGGGTGGTGGAGCGGGAACTGAAGCCGGGCGGCAAGAACATGATCGTCAACGAGAAGAACAAGAAGGAGTACCTGGAACGGATGATCAAGTGGCGCTTGGAGCGCGGTGTTCAGGAACAAACCGAATCGCTGGTCAGGGGCTTCTACGAGGTGGTCGACTCCCGGCTGGTCTCCGTCTTCGATGCCCGGGAACTGGAGCTGGTGATCGCCGGCACTGCCGAGATCGACACCAATGACTGGCGCCTGAACACCGAATACCGTTCCGGCTACCATGACAACCATCAGGTGATCGTGTGGTTCTGGCAGGTGATCGAACGGTTCAGCAACGAACAGCGCCTCCGGCTGCTGCAGTTCGTCACCGGCACCTCGAGCATCCCCTACGAGGGCTTCTCCGCCCTGAGGGGTTCGACGGGACCCCGGCGCTTCTGTATCGAGAAGTGGGGCAAGCCGAATGCCCTGCCCCGTGCCCATACCTGCTTCAATCGTCTGGATCTGCCGCCGTATCCCACGCCGGAGCTGCTCTACGAGAAGCTATTGCTGGCCGTCGAGGAAACGAATACGTTTGGTATCGAGTAGTCATGTGATGCACCAAAAAAAAAAAACCCCAACAACAAAAAACACAACAAACACCAAACACACACACCTATGACATACACCTGAAGCGCTTTACTTTCGATTTTAGATGTTTTTTTTTTATCTTAATTGTCTAAGGCTTAGTTTATAGCCCCTCCCTGGCTGAGAGCAGACCCCAATCTCTGGGTGTTTTTCAAGAATAAGAGTTAAGAGTGTCGAGATCAAGATCATCAGTAGCAGTAGCAGAAGAAACTGAAGCAGAAGAAAGCAGAAATCAGAAGAATCTATGAAAAAGGTAGCAGAGAAATCAACGATAGAATTACTTGCTGGGATTATAGTAGCAGCTGTAACCCACGTAAGTTGCCAGTTTATATATTTGGTGAAAGGTTTCTATTTTTTTTTTTTAACCAAATTTCCAAATTTAAATTTTAAAACTAACCCATTTTCAAAAAGATATTGCCCAAAACTGATTATTTACAGAAAAGTATATTGTTATTTTGATTGAAAAACAATATATCTTTTGTTCATATTCAGAGTTTGAGGTTCGAAATTCCCATTATTTCGAGTGAAGTATTTTTTTTTTTGCCGAAAAATTGCCAAAACTTAAAAATATAATTTCTAGCTACAAAAAGAGGGCTAAAGAACCAGCTAAGGCTTAAGAAAAAGGACAGTATTTTATTTTTGTACACTAGTATTTTTGAAAAATAGTATTTAATAACTTGACTTTTTTAAAATTCCAAAACAGAAGTATTCACGATTTAAATAATTTAGAAATATTTCTCAATAGTTATAAAAATCTTTAATATAATTTTGAGTTATAGAATGTTGTGTTTAGTATATACTAAAAATATACTGTTTACTTTTCCAATTATCCTTGAGACTTCAAGCTCAAGCTTTAAGATCCAAGCCCTTTAAACTTTATTTTTTAAGAAACGAAAGCAAGATTCGTTCTGTTTTCCACTTAGCTTAGGTAATCTTAATCTTAAATTCTCGAAATTTCCTCGAAAAAATACTAACTAGAAAACAGCTTTTCAAAATGTTAAAACATGTTTTCTTCAATTTATAAAATGAAAAATATTCTCAATTTGAATTTTCAAAATAGTTCCAAAAATAATATTTATTAAAAATGCTTATCATATTTTTCATAATTTTTTTTTTTAGTATATACTAAATATATACTGTTTATTTCACAATTTTGAGAGAACCCTTGAGAGTTCAAGCTCAAACTTTAAGATCCAAGCCCTTTAAACTTTATTTTATAAGAAAAGAAGACTAGATTCGTTCTGTTTTCCACTTAGCTAAGGTACGTTAGTTTTTGAAATTCCCTCAAAAAAAAAATACCAACCTAGAAACTATATTCAACATGTTTAAACATGTTCTCAAACATGGTTTGGTATTTTTAGGTCGCTTTTTTCGCTTCTCCGCTCTTGAAGAACTCGAAACTCTTAATCTTTTGAATATCCAGAGATTTCGAAGCTTAATGCCAGCTAGTATTGTAGTTATTTATATTATTATAATACGTAGGCTCCCCATCCACCCCTTTATAGATGATATAACGAAGAAGAAGAAGAAGAAAAAAGAAATTCCTAGCCATAGAAAGACTTGCTACCCCCCCTAGTTAGTAGACACTTTGCCTTTTGCCCGTTTTTTGTTTTTTTAATATTTTCCATAAATTGGAATATGGATATTTTACCTCAAGGTTTATACACGTATTAGCAACAACGGCTTGCCAGTGCCGCCAGTCATTAGTCCTAAATATTAAAAAAAAAAAAAAAAACTAAAACTACAAGATACTTTTTGAGACAACGAGAGAGAGAGAGATTGAGGAGAATCGAGGAGAGAAGACGTTCTACGCCAATACTTAAATAGCTTGTAATGTTGTCTTTAGCTTTAAACTCGAATTCCCAAAAAAAAACCATAAGACAGCACTCCCTAGATAAATGAGCATTCCCCCCCTTTAAGCGTACCCCTGTGGATGTCCAGTTATATTATATATTATAGTTATATATATATATATATATCCACTCTTGAAAGTAAATCGTTTTTTGAATTTACAACTCAAATCCTACACGGAGTCTCCGTTTTTCTAGACCAAGTCGTCTCCGGTTAGCCAGATACGGAGATGGAATATATCCAATCGGATCTATTAATATATATATATAGTATATTATATATACACGAATTGGCTGCTGTTTTGCCAAAAAAAAGAAAGAAAGAAAAGATTTCAAAATTGGTCCAGTGCGTTGCTTTGGCTTTATTGGTTCTCTCGACGCCTACACTTTGAAAAATAAATATTAATTATTATTATTAATATTTAATGCAAAAACATACAAACAATTAAAATTAAAATTAAAAAAAAAAAAAAAACAGTAGATAAAATAATTAAATCCAAATATTAAAACGTAACGAAAGCGGTGATTTGTTTACAATTTAAAATGTATGTATATTTTGGCATTAGTTAAATAAATTATGGAACGAGTTAAAGACAGAGACAGATAGAGAGATAGCGAGAGAGAGAGAGAGAGAGAGACATTTAAAAGACAGAGACGGACGCCGACAGAGTCTCCGATAGAGAAAGAGATGGGCAGAGAAACGCTTTTTGAACTACTTATTAAAAAATAAATGAAAGATTGTTTTAATTATAAATGTGCGTGTATTTATGAACAAATTAACTATAATTATAAACAGAAATAAATGTGAGCCTTTTACTTCAAAAGCAAAAAAAAAAAATTAAGAAAATGTCTAATAATTATAAAGAGTAACGTAACGTAAAGTAACGTAAGATCTTGCGTTATAACGTAAAGAAAAAAGTGTGGCATACTTTTTTGCTGTAAGTATAAAAACTATCCAATAAATTAACTATATTAAACATTTTCATTAACACACTTCTAAAAAATTCTAAACCCATAAATTCTAAAATAAAATACACACACATTTCATTTAAGTTTTCTGTATATTTTTATCCACAATTTTCAGTTTTTATTTTTCTTTATTCTTATTTTATTTTTTTTTTATTTTTCTTTTTATTCTGCAAAATGCAATTTGCGTTTACATAGATTCTTTCTTTCTTTTTCTTCATGAAATGATAACATACACAATAATGCCTTAATTATTACGCGATCATTTCTCTAGGCTAAGATTTTCTCTGGATCTGGATCTATAGTGTAGGTTGCTTGGATCTTGGACTGGATCTCATTCCGCTTCTATGTACAGTGGGTACTTCTGTTGAATGAACATGCTTTGTGTGTTTTCTATAAAAAATTCGCAGCAAATTGAAGTAAGAAATTGTAGCGGCTGTTGGGATAGTGGCATTATGTAATAATGTTTAGAGGACTACTCGGATGATAGGTCTAATCGATATAATCGATAATCGATAATTGTTTGATTAAGGGTGGGCTTTATTTGATCGATCTGGTTGGTATATTAGTGGGTGTATTTTTACTTTGTGCGCAGCAAAGCTTTCTGAAAGCATCCGTGACACATGCAATATTTCTAAGGACATTCTTTATTTTACACACTAATTTTAATCGCTTTACGCAAAAAACAAAAAAACGCTTTTATTTTTTTTTCAATGTAACTCTAGCTAATTTTACATTACACTTGAAGAAATTTTGCTAATTGGTTTTTTTTTTTTAAATAAATTCTTTCATTCTCCTCCAGTTTGTGGAGGAACTACAAAAAATATTTACCTTCATATTACATATTTTATTATGTTTTATGATTTATGATCTTTTTTTTTTTGTAGTCTCAAGCAATACAAAAATAGAGCATCCATTAATTTTTTTTATTTATTTTTTTTTTTTTTGAGAGTTGGTTATTTTTAATGCAATATGTGTGCAATTGTTTTTATTTTAGGTTTCTTGAAGGCCTTTGAAAGAATTGAAAATTGTTCTGTGGCGAGTAGAGTCTATATATTTATTTATTATTTTTTTTTTAGAATGCAACTCCTATGGTCTGCCTGATTTCTCTGAGTGGCTTTAATGCATGTGTGTGTGTGTGTTTTTTAAGAATCTGTGGCTTTTAATTTTTCTGAGGCTTTCACTTCCGCTACCGCTACTGCTTCCGTTTCCGCCTTTTAACTTTCTTTCGGGTACGATCACAGCATTTACAATTCTAATGATATATACTTTTTTGTGTGAAAATGTGTGTGTATGTGGGTGTTATAGTTGTTGTTGTTTTTAATGGAAGATGTGCGGCCAACTCTTTTTTTTTTAAATTCGCACCAAAAATTCTATATTACTATATATATATTTAAATATCTTTACAGTATATATAAGACAAAAAAAAAAATTAAAATCAGATTTTTTCATTTCATTTGATTTTTAAATATATATATATATATTGTAAATCCTGTTTAATACTTTTGCAAATGCATTTCATCTGACATTTAAATACAAGTTTCAATTACATTTAATCATTTCGTTTTTCGGTTTTTTCCTTTTTTTTTTTGAAAAAGCTGCCATTTTACTTGACTTTTTTTTTTTTTTATCCTGCTACACACAACAACTAATCTTATAGGGTTTTCTTATTTAATAAAAAAGGTAATACAAAATATTTTAGTTTTATATATATTTTTGTTTTTTTTATTTATTATTTATTTAATTTCCATTACGATTATTTCGCTTTAGAATGGCTTGGCAATATATGCAAAGTTTGTGTGTGTGTAGGAAAGAAGGCATTGTTAGATTTCTATTCTGTTCTCTGTTATTAAATTGCATTTCCCATTAACATATTTATTAAATTCACTACAAATTTCCCTTTTTATTTTTGTTTTTACTCTAATGTATATAAAATATGCTTGAAATGAAGAAAACTAATTCAGAGAAATTGAGAAATTAGTTCAACAGCATTAAGAATTTATTTTTCTGCAGTTTCTGGAAGAGATTGTGGGTGGCGGATGATTCTACAAAAAAAACGATGTGTTTTCTCCTCTGGTCTATTTTTGTATGCAACAACATTGAACAATGCTTAAATCTGAATTTCTTTTGCTTCATATATATATATATATTATATTATATATATTGTTAGGTTGATTTTTCAAGACATATTCTAATATAAGTTATGTAACTAGTTGGCTGCTGCTGTTGAATTTTTCTAGGAAAATTGCAGCTGATTTTGTATTTGTTATTGCTGAGCTGTAGAGAAATGCACAAAAATTTTGGGGCTCGTCCTTCCGTTGACTTTTCACTTAACTTTCCCGCGTCGTTCCACCGGACGGTTTTCATTAAATTATTTTCTGCCGATCCCATCCATCCAAGTTCGTTGTACTTTCGCCTATATAACCTTTCATGGGAGGGGGAAAAGAGGGCCAATAATTTTCTTTGATTTTGACTTGCTTTGTTTTGCTCCGGTTATCGTTTTTCTTCTCTCTTTATTTTTTAGCTAATTGGTTTTTTATTTAGTTTAAATTTAATTTAAATAATATTTATATATATATTAATATATAAATACATATATAGATGTTTTTGCTATACAATCTATAGCTGGGTATGTAATAATATTAAAAAAAAAAATATATATATATATATAATAGATTAACGTAAATTGGTTACTTATATTCTCTAGTTCTTCCATCTTTATCATCTTGCGGAATCTATCTGTGCTCCCTATTGTTTCTCTCATATACATATATATTTATATATATATATATATATATATATATATTATCATATATCATATATCATATCAGGACGAACATCTAGTACAAAAAAGGTTACAAAGTTCAATTTGCAAATGTAAAAACGTAAAATTATTCTGTATACAATGGGTTTTGCATCTTTAGGTTGCATGTGTGTGTGTGTCTGTGTGGTTGAAGGGTTTCGAATCTACTCTGAATCGGGTTCCCGCTCATCGAATCCGGCCAAGTCCACGCTCTGCAACATACCCCTCGAATAGGCGTACTCAATTAGCGCCAGGTGGCAAAACACATACTGATCGGGCATTTGGATTGAGTAGGCGCGCTGCGAACGAATCTTCTCCACGGTTCCCCGTATATCCGCCGTGCCCACATCCTCCAGCCGCGATATGCAAATGTCCAGGGTGATGAATGTCCCTGTTGAAGGTACATTCGATAGTTAGTTTATGGTGTTTTTCATAAAAATATATATGGTGTATACACCCAACATACCTGTCCGTCCGATTCCAGCACTGCAGTGCACCACAATTGGAGGTCCTCGCGGATGACCCGTCCATGTGTCGCCTAGGGCGTGGACTAGTTCCGCCTGCTTGTCGCGTACCTTTTGCAGGAAATTCAGCATGGCCATGGCCGAGCTGGGAACACCATAGTCTGGCCAACTGGTGAACTGCCAATGCGAGACATTGCGAATTTCGTCAGTCTGAAATTAAATATCAAGAATTATTTCCCACCATTTCGGAATTGAAAATTCTACCATATTGTCTACCTTTATGTTTCTCAACTCCAGCGAGGCCACCGTGTAGTCCTCGTTGCATTCAACGGTAATGGTTCGCACATGGTAGTTGCCAAACTCTAAGGAACTATCTTCAGTCGGCTCCCAGTACTGGCCGCATTTAACACGTCCGCGCTCCATCACGCGCGTCGTCATAACTATAACTAAACAACGCTGCTCCCAGACCATGCGCCAAAAGTCCTGGGATGTCTTTGGTAATGGACCTGAAAGAGTTAAACATAAGGATGTTGCAATTAAATACTCTTCTATAAATTCTTAGTTATTTTTTTTTTTATTCATTTATTTATTCATGTTTAATGTTATTCTAACTATTATATTTTTTATTAACAATTTTTTACATATTTTTCATAGGATTCTGAGAAGACACTAAGAGTTTCTACAGCTTCAGCTTTTAATGGATTAAAAAATTCCGTGAAATCCTTGGAGATATAGACTACGGAATTATTAATAGTGCTATGTCATATATTTTAAGTACTCAGTAATTGTGTAATAGCATTTCCTAGTATGGTAATTTAGAATTTTCACAGTTATTTTAAGAAACCCCCTAGTTTTAAGCGTTTTCAGTATTCGTAAGAATGTCGCGGAAAGCCCCCATTGTAAATTCCCTTGCCCCAGATTACTTTTACATTTCATTTATTTTTTCAGGTAAGTCAAAATTGTAAAGGGCCCGGACGCCATTTTTTTTATTTTTAGTGTGGTTGATTTTGGGGAAAATACGGTCACACTAATTTTTTCACTTAATGCTACGGAAATGCGGTCATACTTTTTTGTTCTGAGAGCCTGGTCACACTAATTTTTGACCCATGAAAATGCGACCACACTAAAATACGGTCATACTTTTTTGTTATGTAGACCTGGTCACACTAATTTTCGCCTCGCGAAAATACGGTCACACTAAAATACGGTCACACTAAATTTTGCGCCAAATAAAAACGAAAATACGGTCATACTTTTTTGTTATCTAGACCTGGTCACACTAATTTTCGACCCACGAAAATACGGTCACACTAATTAGTGTGACCAGGTCTACATAACAAAAAAGTATGACCGTATTTTCGTGGTATTGGTCGCAAAAATTTAGTGTGACCGTATTTTTTTTTAGTATGACCGTATTTTTGTGGGTCGGAAATTAGTGTGACCAGGCTCTCAGAACAAAAAAGTATGACCGTATTTTAGTGTGGTCGCATTTTCGTGGGTCGAAAATTAGTGTGACCAGGTTCTCAGAACAAAAAAAATCAACCACACAAAAAATAAAAAAATAGCGTCCGGGCCCTTACCTGTAAAAAAAATGCAACAAATCTTACAACTAAAAAACCTATTACAAAAAAATACTGGTTTAAAACGCGTTCATACAAAATACTGGGGAATCGACTTAAACTAGTATATTTGAATTTCCCCAGTATCTTATATTTACAATACGCTTTACGAAAAACGCTTATTAATAAATACTGGTAATTTCGAAACACGCTTAAAATATATTCCTGCAGTATTTTGAGGTTACGCCGAAATATTTTCGTATTATTTTTGTTTAACTGGGTACTTATTTTGGTTCTTCTCCTAAAAAATATTTTGGTTCTTCTTCTTTTTGGTTAGGAAAAAGTTTGTTTGTCCTAAAAAATTGGTATCAAATTATCAAATTATAGTATCAAATTATAAAATATTAATTCTTGAAATTTTGGAACATTTTGGGAAAATAAATATCCAAAAAAAAATAAGCTAAATCTACAGGTTAAGAAGAATTTCCTTTGAAAGCCTTTTACGTTTTGTCGCAATTAATTTCCCCAGTATTTTTTTTCTCCCGTCCATTTTAAATTTTAGTAGTTTCATTATTTTAACAGAAAAATACCTTGAGTTGAAATATAGGCATTCTTCTGTTTGTAGCCATCGACAAAATTCGCATTTATGTAATCCGACAGCTCCACGCCGTCTTCGTAAGCCAGCACCACTCGACTGTGATCATAGCAAAGGACATCTGTGTAGCGATTTTTGGTTAGATTCGTGCGCATCCTTTTTAAAGAAATATAATTACGATTAAGCATTATTTTAATAAATAATTAGTATAAATAAAAATAAATATTACCTCGCATGGGCAAAAGTGCCTTCGGGTGCCCGGTTTCGGATGTCTGTGTACTCCTTGATCAACCCATGGCGGCCGCGCTGCTTGACCATCTGAACAATCTGCTCGATGGGCTTAGGATCACCCTCCTGGCCGGCCAGACTGTCGTCGTCACTGAAGCCCGAAGAGGCACTGCTTGGAGGATTCTCTGACCAGAATTCGCCACCACCGTTCGTTGTGGTTGTTCCTGTTCCAGCACCAGCTGTAGCACCTGCACCAGCACCTGCTCTAACTATAACAGTTCCAAAACCTATAACAGTTTCAGTTCCTCCAGTGGTACCACCTCCAGCTGTTGTAGTGCTGCCGTCAGCACCACCACCACCACCACCACCGGGGCTTGTATTGAGCTTGAGGGAGTTGACTGTCGTTGTTGCAGTGGGGCCAGACGTATTGCTGCGGTGGCTGGGACTCAGTCCGTTGATTGTGATGTTCTCGTTGGGCTCCCCAGATCCAGTGGATTCGGCAGCGGCAACAGCTACTCCATCCTGCGTTCCAGTGGCAGGACTTACGCCATTCCGGATCGTTACTACGGTGGTGTTACTGGTGGCGGCGTTGGTGGTTGGTGTATTGTTGCTTTCTGTGATTATTGTAGTTCCTTCCACAGGTTCCACAGTGCCATTCGTGGTGGTGGTTGTGGTTGTGGTGGTGGTGGCCACTACTACTCCACTACCAGCCGATCCCACACCCACGATATTGGCCAGCAGCTCGTCCTCACGATTCGTCATCGATTGGCGGCAGCTGAGCAACCATGTGGCGTGATCGACCTCCAGCGTGCCACCCAGATGTATGGGCAGCGCTTTACGCGGCACGTGCAACGCCAACTGCGGCACGGATACAGTGAAGACTCGTTCGCGCAGCTTTTCGCGCACAAACAGCCGTAGGATTTTAAAGGGAGCCTTAAACCACAATGGTGCCGTCACAATGAGGACCTTTTTCAAACGCGCCGGATAAGCACCCTAAAAAAAAAACATAAAATAAAAATTAAAATTAAAAATATTTATTAGATTTAAGGTTTCTATGGGAAATGTTGAAAAAGCTGGAGAAAAGCCTAAAAAGCTGGAAAATTCTAACAATAAAGTCAAGTAACAAGTTCAAAGGAAACCCAGCTTTTGCTTTTCCCAGCTTTGTTAGAAATCTCTGAAAAGTAGGCAACATTTTTCACTTAAAAAGGAATTAAAATTATTTAAAATAGCTGTAGGATATATACAGGAAATTCCTATAATTTTCAATAAAGATGAAGCAACATAAAGGAATGTACATATATACATATGTAACCACCGAGCACTGATTAAACTGCGAAAACCAGGTAAACTACCTACCTACCTACCCACCTAGCACTGTTACTAAAAGGAAAATGCGACGATATACAACACTAGTGTATGTGCATGTGGAATGTTGGGCAAATGGGGGTCAGCAAATAGGGGTAACAGATAGAGAGAGAGAGAGAAAACTACTGGAGCAATGGTTGGGGGCTGGCTGGCAGGCAGCAGGCAGAAGCAGAAGCAACCTTCACCCAGTTGGGCAAATGTTGAACAAATTTTATTGCGAAATTCTCTGTCGATGGACGTGAAAAGCAACAAAAATAACAACAACAAACTTGGCTTCATTTAAAGGTAAATTTGCGAATTCTGAAAAGGGAAGAGATACGATAGAAAGAACGAGCAAGAGGGCTTGGAGAAGCTCTTTTGGAATATCTCATCCGTGTCATGATTATTTTAGTTTATTGGCCCCAAAAGGCCCCGACCCACCCCCCCCTCAAGATATCGAAATTAAGGTCAGAGAAACAGTTAGTTATTAAAAAAGTTACCAATACTATCATTTTTTTTCCCCTCACTGTAAAACCAATAAAAATGCAGTTGATGCACTTTAATTAAACGCACAACAACAATCACAATTCCCAACCGATACACAAACAAACACATACACACACACACACAAGCCTCTTCATGGAGAATTTAATTAAAAGTGTTTTTCGCAGTTCACCTAACAACAAAAATATTGTCGTTGGCGATTTTCGCCCCCCCCCTTTCCCCCTTTCCCCCTTGCTATCTCTTGCTTAATTTTCCCTCTGTTTTTTCCCCTCTTTTGTATCTCCTCGCTGGGGATCAATAAATACCTAAAAGCTAAAAACCCAATTGGCAATGGTTTTCAATTAAGTAGGTTTTTTTTTTTTTTTTAATTTTACGATTTTTTTGTGTTTTAATAAGAGAAACCCTAATTAAGTTATTGTTCTTTGACTGTCTATCGGGTTATCCGCAATTCAACCTATATTTTTCCCAGTATTTTTCGATTTTTATGGATTTTATTTTAAAATTTTAATAAATACTTCTCCCAATTTATACCCCCTATTTGTAGACTTTTATAGGCGTTTTATACTTTTAATAGTTATAATATAAATATATTGCTATAAATATAAACTAATACTGTGGAAATATCTCAAGAAAGGCTCAGGGGTCTTTCTTGAAAGAAATACAGGTTTATGTTAATACCTGTATATTATTTTTAACAAGAAACCCTATCTCATTTTTATAAAATCATGTCCATTTTTTAATTAAAATATTATTTAGAAGCCTAGGAGACTGTAGAAACTTTCAATATACAGGGAAAAGTAGTGCCTATCTGTCCGCTTTTGCTCGGAATGCATTTCCCCCTATTTATATATTTTTATGCATTTTTTACTTGTAATATTTAATTGTTCGCAATTTTCCCCCTATTTTCATATTTTTAAGCATTTTTTGCTTGTAATAGTTATATGGAAGCTTAAAATAGATATTGTAAATAAGGGAAACCATTTTTATTTTTTATAACCCTTAAAAATATTATTAAAAACTTTTAGAAGGCTCTGAAATATAGGGTTACAAATATAGGTTTATATAGGCCCTGAATATAGGTTTAATCGCAAGCTGTACGCAATTCACCTTATATTTTTCCCACTATTTTTAAACTTTTAAGCATTTTATACCTATAATAGGTACTTTTGCAATTTTCCCACTATTTGTACGACTTTTAAGCTTTGTAACTTTTTAGTAAAATTTATAATAATTATTCCTTCAATTTTTTACCCTATTTTTAGGCTTTTCTGGATTTAAAATTTTCAATAGTTACTTTTTCCTTTCTCTATATAATTATCTAATATATATTTTTTATAATGAAAACTATCCTATAATTTTCTATAAAAATGTCCCTAATCCAATTTTAAAATAATATTCAGAACCTTAGAAATAAAATACGCCCTTTGGTATAAAATACAGGGTAAATTATGTTCGTTTTAGAGTTTGGAATTTTGTGCCTTCAAGCTTAAGATTGCATCATCCAATCCCCTGTATTTGCAGATCCACACACACACACACTGCAGCCAGGGCACAAACACACTCATACTTGTGTACATATGACTTCCATTTATGGGCAACATCTTCATTTTCCCCCTTATTTCGGTTGCTTTGAACTCGTTTTCCCACCCCCTACCTCCCCCACCATTCTTGTTGTGCAGTTGGTTTTAATGCCAACTTTCACTTTGATCCGAAACACACACACACACACACACATACAGTACACCTGTGGGCAGTAGCAATGGGCATGCCTAAAAATAGGCAACAATTCTTGATTTTGGGCCTCAGGAGAACCAAAGACAGGTGAGCTAGCAGGTGGCAGGTGGCGGATTATCCCATGTCCTTTAGTGTCCAATTTGCATATCAGAGCACCATCGAATAAAGCCAATAAATAATCCACTTTCTCTTTTCTTTCACTTCTTTTTTTTGTGCCGACCAGGCCAATAAATAACTCAAAAGGTTGGTTTCGTGCCACGAATATAGAAAATAATATTTTTTTTGCATGTTAGGGGTGTGCTTATGAGTCATAATTGAGAGAAGGGAGGGTTCTCACTCATACAAAAAATAAATAAAAATGCTAACCAGAGCAACTAAATGGGTGAAATAAAAAAAAAATCGAACTATTGCCGGCATTTCAGGGTCACAACCACCCCTCCACCCTCTCTACTATATATAGAGTATATCCCCCCTAATACTGGTTATTCCCACATCCAATTAGAATCCAATTGTGGCGGCTAGGGGGTAGAGATATGAAAAGCAATAAAAACAATCACAACAGAGCACCCCTCTAGGTTTTCCGAGGAGCCCCAGCATCATGCACACACACACACATACACAGTCTATATATATATATATATATAAGCTATATATATATATACCAAGAAACAACAATGGCAGGTGGTAGGTGGAAGAAGAGTGGCCAGAAGATTATTTGCCTTGAGGGCCAAAAAGTCTGAGCAAAAGTTGAATGAAACTTGTGGAGGGCAAGGCAGGGCGTAAAAGCCACGCCCCCATGTTTAGACACTGAAAGAAATTAAGGATTAAAAACCAACTAGAGTATAATTTTTTTTTAAACTAACTTCTTAGCTAAAATTTATGTTAAAATCTTTAAAAAAAAAAAATCTTATTAAAAACCTTTATTTATTTTTTTTTTTATTAATTAATTTTTTTCAGTGCCCTTGTCGTCAGCTAAGAATTATTTTCCGGCGGAGGAGTTTCCCCAAACTGGCAGACTCTCGAGTGGGCAACTTAACGTGACTTGGCATGCGTTTTTGGCTCCAGACTCTCCTTGTCCTGACTTACCCCTCCCCTCCTTGACTTGGCCAGGATATACAGGATAGGATAGATATTTTGTCTTCCTGGCCAGGCTAAATATAGCCCAGGAATACAATCTACAAAATGTTCATTTAATATTTTTACAAGCTGCCCACTGCGTGGCCCACTAATTGGTTTTCCGCGAAAACGATACTTGATTATTTTTATTTTGTTTTTTTTTTTTTTTTATAAAAATAATTAAGTAAAATTATTATCGTTTGAAAATGGGAGAATTCTTGGGGGATTTTAAATTCCCAAAAGGGTATAGCTTTATTATTTCTAAGAATTATGATGAAATATTAAGGGAGATTGAAGAATTTAAAAAAAAATATCAAGTATACGCCCTATGGGTTTTTATGGTTTTTTTTTTTAGATCACTTTTCATGGCTCTTTTCTTTGTAATTTGTGTAATAATTTGCAAAATAATTAAGAAAATTATTATCGTTTGAGAAATTCTTGGAAGAAGGGTAAATTTTATTATTTCTAAGAATTATGATGAAATATTAATGAATAATAGGAAATAATGCTTTTTTTTCTTTAAAAAATATCAAGTATACGCCCTATGGGTTTTTATGGTTTTATTTTTTAGACCATTTTTCATGGCTCATATTTTTGTCGTTTGGGAGAGAAGAGACTCTCCGGAGAGAGAAGAAAACAAATAAATAAATAAATAAGTAAATAAATATGTGAAATTAGCCATGGCCCCAAAATTGGTAATGGTTTTTAAGCTTGTCCCCGGTTATGGGCATGAAACGAATTTTGTCGCTTGTACCATATCCCATGTCTGTTGTCCGATGTCTGCTTTTACCAAAAATGGCACTAAGAAGCGGCAGGCAAAGCAAACAAACCGATAAACCAGTTAACAAAAGGGAGGGAACTAAAGACAAATGAATGAATGGGCCAAGAGCCTATAAGATCGTGGGGATATACCCAATCGAAGATAAAAATTAAAAATTATTTTAATCGAAGACATATATATATATACTTCCGATATATAATCAATAAGCTAGTGAGCTACTATCTCTAGAAATGTGTGTCTGCATTTGGGGAATCAATATTTGATGGCCTTATCCCTTGCCCCAAGTCATGCTAATTGGAGAGCTCTTCAGAAATCCCAATCACAAAACCCCCCCTCGAGCCAATCAATTGGAAATCCCTCAGGGGGGGACACAAAGTAAATACTTAATACATTCGTCATAGAAATCCATATTGGATATCTGGCCAAACAAATACCCATTCAAACATGGCTATGGGTTAAATAAAATCAATAGAATCGAATATTAAGCCCTAATGACCTCATTGGTTGAAGGGGT